GTAAACATAAAGATGATGGTGAAAATAGTAATAATAAAATAATAATTACAATAATGAGAGCAATGACAATGGTAAAATGCCCAATTTTCTGAGAAAAGTCACTGATTTTTTTATGAAAAAATATTTATTTTCACTTCAAAATGATATCATTCAAACTTCATCACTTTCTCTTTCATTTGGCATGAACATCATTGAAGAAAAGGAATGTGTAAATGGCCTGGTGATGGGGAAATGCGAAGGATATGCGGCGAAAAAAAAACAATGTCGTCTGATAAGTGTTGTTGTCATCACCCAGCTCATGGGGTGTTAAAAACAAAACACATCAAGCCATTGTTCAAACATAGGTTATATCAAGCCCTAAAATGTTAACCCTTTTTTTTTCACTCTTTGCTCTTATCTGCAAGTGGTGGGTTTTATTACAACTTGTTCTAAACATTTATTGCTGGCTGGCCGGTCGACCTTTGACCCAGAGATGTCAAAGTCAATTTGGTTTAATTTTCCTTATTGCTGCTATTTTTTGGGTAAAAAAAACAAAAAAACTTTTGGTTTTGAGTGGTCAGGAATTGCAGATAAATCTTTCGCCTTTTACTAAAGATTTCCATGGCCAGGTGTCAGTTTTTTTAACCCCTGGCAGTCATATAATTGAAAATTACCAACGGACTTTGTTGCATTTTGACCCCCCCTATGAATGTTGATTTCCTTCAAAACTCTCAATTTTATGCCTGAAATAGTTTGATTATGATTTAGGCTTTCTGACTTTTCAAAAAAAAAATGGTTAATTTCCCATTAATGGGTAAAATTTTTGTTTAGAACTAGAAAAAATACAAAATTTTCACTATTTTTTCACATTTTGCCCCCTGAAATAAAAATTTGAGTTCTTTACACCAGCCAATTTTACTTTTAAATGAAAGAATATATCTTTTGTTTTCAGAAAATACCTAATTTCATGGGGTTCAGATCAAAAGTTTCCTTGATATTTGTTTAGGTGATGATAAATCAGTCATTTTTCAATATTTTACCCCCTATAAAAATATGAAAATCCATTTTTTGAGAGAAAATGAGCTGTGACAAAATGACTTTTGCCATTTTTGTGATGATTTTTACTTGGGATAGAAAATTTTTACCATAGCAAACCTGAATTGACTTTATTTAAGTTCAGTGGAGCTATAGGAAACCTCAAACAGCTGTGATATATATAAATATCTATATATCTATGTCTATATATATGTATTGTGTGTGTATATATATTGTATATGTGTGTATATTTTTTCGTACTGATCTGCGCAATGTAAACAAACTGGCACCATATTTGTTATCAGCATGGTGATTTGAGCATGCCAAATTATTAGAAAGGTTTAGTAAAATTACCACAATTGAGCAAACAAAACGTTTATTAATGTTGCACATAAATGTTTATGATCAAAAGAAGCTAATAAATAAGGTAATCAAACAAATAATGACAGATACAAACAAATGCACAGTTTTAAACAAATTAATAGGGAATGTGCTTTCCCTATTAATTTGTTTAAAACTGTGCATTTTTTTTTAAATTACTTGAAGAAGTTTACGATCCATAGAATTTGTTAATTGTAGGATGTCATCTGCTGTAATGCCACGAGATATGTCAAGAATTGCTTCCCACAACTCAGCATTGCTCCTGAATTGTCGTCCGTTGGCATACAGTTTTCGCTTCATGATGCTCCAAAGGTTTTCGATTGGGTTCAAATCCGGAGAATTTGCTGGCCACTTCATTTTTCGAGGTCCATCGAAGCCTAACAATTTCAAATATTCAGTAGTCTTGTGAGCAGCATGTGAGGGAGCATTATCTTGCATAAAAACAATGGCCATTCTGAAGGCAAATCTTTGCCTTTTCATCCATGGTTCAAGATGCTCCTTCATAAACGATATGTATGCATCAGCAGTCATTTTGACGTCATCTGGTACTCTCCATGAGCCTACTAATGTTTTTCCAATAATACTACCCCAGATCATTATGCCTCCACCACCTTGTTGGCGTCTCAAATGCTTATGGCAATTCTGTCTATTCATTACCCAGCCTTTGCACCATCTATCTGGCCCATCAAGTGTTGCTTGAGTTTCGTCTGTGAACAAAACTTTAGAGAAGTCAAGCTTCATATTGTCCTCAACCCATTTCAATCGATTTTGAATGTGATTTCTCGTCAACGGAGGCTTCGATACAGGTTTGAGTATTGTTGCTATTTCCCTCAGATACCGACACCAAATACTTTTAGACACAGTAGGATCCCCAATGCGACTGAAAAGCTCTTGACTGGTAAGTCCAGGGTTCTTCATGGCCTCTTGTTTAAGTCGTGACATGAGACGACGTGAAATAACCCTCGGCTTGCATTTATCTGCCCTTTTGCGTACTTGTGTAGGGTTGGCGGTGAACTTTTTCACTGTTTGATGACACCTCCCTATCATTTTAGAAATTTCTAGGGTAGATTTACCTTTTGAGAGTTCTGAGGTGATAGTTTTTTTTTTTCAGCGTCACTTAAACTGCTTTTACGGCCCATCTTTTCACTAAATTCTTACACTTTTCTAATAATTTGGCACGCTCAAATCACTGTGCTGATAACAAATATGGCGCCAGTTTGTTTACATTGCGCAGGTCAGTGTTGCCAACATTGTGTGAAAATTTTGTGTGAATTGATTGGACGGTTTTTGAAATATTAGAAAAATAGTTATCTCGATAATAATTTGGCATGCATATATATATATATATATATATATATATATAATCACTTCTGTTATGGCCAGGTTTTGAACTCACAAGTCATTGGCTCAAGTCACCAGATTGCTTTAACCAATGCTTTTATGTACTTGGCCATGTGTCAAAGAAGGCCAGAGCATGAAACAGCCAAAGCATGGCTATAAAGATGAGGCAACTGTCGGAAACTGTACCTCATCTCAAAAATATAGACAGATACTTTCCTGGTTTATTGAAATTTTTTGCAGTCACTGAGCTTCCACCTTTTGTTATAAAACTTTCATTATATTTATTTACTTAGCCTAGACTGGCTCAAGGCCACAAATACAGAGCAACAAGTGAAGATTGAAATCGCTACAGTAAGTAATGATGAGGTGCATACAGTGAGCAGATTCCTATGACATTTTTATGCTTATTTTTTTCTTTGTTTATTTCACACATTTTTTCTAGGCTCAGAGTGTGGGCGATAAAGACAATGCAATTGTTCCAATTGGCAAAACAGCACAGGAGGTAAGTTTACATCAAGCCACCTTAATGTACATCAGACTTTACTTTTTCTCTCTTAACCTCAGAGTAAACAAACTTCACAGTTTTGTTCTAACATATAAAATAATTTATTTACAAACCACTAAAATGGAAGGGCTTACTAAGTGTTGAAAGGACATTAAATGAACAAGAATTAAGAAAACAGAAGATAACAATTGACATTGCATTTAAATTTTTGAAGGTCATACTTGACTGAGAAGCAAGAAACCGATAGAGCGTGTGAATGGTGATAGAAGAAAATGTTTGCTTAGAACTTGGAGTTACATCTGGCCATTTTAGCTGTAAAAGGATGAGATGTTGCCGCCAATCTAGTATTGCACTTGAATTCATAAAGTCTAATTAGTATAGAGAAAATTTTGAGGGAAAAATTACCATGAAAGTATTTATGGAAAAGGCACAGGAAACAACATTACACTGATGAGAAAGGTACTGAAATCAAGATGCCAGGTCAGGACTAATAACATTGCAGTTTCTTCTTTGTATTTTATGAAGAATCTCTAAAAGGAGCACCAAACCAGATGTGGCAACAGTATTCAAAACAAGGACAAATGGTAGACTTATAAATATATAAGATAGATTCTGGTGAAAAAATTGTCTTGCACGACATAGGGAACCAACTTTCCTAGATGCAGACCCCACAATTGATTCAATATAATCTTTCCCCTTCATGTCAGTGGAAAATGTTAGTCTGAGAAGATGCAATGAATCACACTGTTGGAGGTTAGCATCAGCCATGCTGAGCGAAGGTGATCCTACAAACTTTGCACACACACACACACACGCACATATATACCATAGTGAATTTTTTTCAAAAGTTTTACCTTATCGGTTATTGACAATGTATGGTATTTGTTCTTCACACCATTGGAAGGACTTCCTGTATTCATTGGAGCAATGTCTGGAGCTAAATATCAGCAGATCATAATAAAAAGACATTTAGAAATGCTTCAACACTGTTTGAAAATGCTAAAAAGAAAACAGCTGATACAGCAGCTAGTGACACCTAACAGTAGTAACAAGTCCATGTGGCAATTCAGGAAATCTGAAATTGCTCTCATGGAAATTATCTCAGATTGGTGATGGCCAACCTGTACTAATTACTTGCTTGTACACACCCCATTTTATCAACAGTTTATACGCTACATTCCTTAACCAACACTGACCTTTACAGTTAGGACCTGCCATGCTACATACACAAGTGTGTATCCTCCCCATTCCCTTTGTATTCCATTTGTAAGGTGTAATTTCCACTCGGACAGCTTCTTTTAAAAAAACTGCTGCTTTCTGGAACAGATTCCTGGCAGGATTTTCTCACAGCCACTACAATTTTAACCTCTTCAAGTCTAGGGTTATCAGTTATCTTCCATGTATAAACCCATGAACTTAATTTCTTGTCTTATGCTCATACAACAGCACACTAATCCTCTACCTTGAGTGGCTCTTGGGCCTTGTATTGGGTAAACATTTGGATAAGAAAAAAGGTCTTCTTTGGTTAAATAAATCAAATCCTTTATATATATCTATAGATTCATTTCTGTATATATTTTGTATGTTTTATGGAGATTCATTTCTGTCTCTGTGATTTTGTAATTGAAGATATATTTTTCTTGGGCCTTGTCATTTTTCTGGACTATATTGAATCAGATATGATTTCTATTTAATGTTTTGCTCTATCATTTACTTTCTTTTTTTTCTTTTTTTAAATGTTTGTTTTATATTTTACTTACGGTTAAATCATGCTGAAACACAAGTTCCCATATGATCACTGAAGTTAAGCAATGTCAAGCCTGGTTAATACCTAGCTGGGTGACCACATAGGAAAACCAGGTGCTGTAAGCTTGGATGTGCAAGTGGTGTAATGGATAATGGCTCAGAATTGTCAATTAGAGAGCCGAGTTCCACTTCCTGTTTGGTTCATTATATTCACTTACATGCAAATACTCTTGGGAAAGGTATGAATTCACCTCTTCTCCCCCAGCTATGGGTTAATTAGTAAGACTTGTATCACTAAACCATTATCTTCAAAAAAAAATTTCTTACAATCTAAAAAATATTTTCTGGCTTTGATAACCTGCAAAGGGTTGATAAGCCATAGAAAACAGTCAGTGTTTTATATTTTATTTTCTTGTTTCTGTTTTTACTTCAGTTTTCCTAAATTTACTTATTTTAAACATTTTTAAATAAACTACCCAACTGATATGAACAAGCCAGAAAATATTTTGGAAAAACAAATTAATATGCAAATTTATTATTTTGATTGATTTTCATTTTCTGGGCTTCCATTATTTTGTTCCAGTGTTTTATGCAATTTTTAATTGTTGACTTCAGACACGACTAATTTACATATGAATTAGAATAAGAATCCAACAGAATGGTAAATACGTAAAACAATTAGTCAAATTTTTAATTTGACGTTTTGTCAATCATCCAATGTCAGCATACAGAGCCATTTCTTTTTGCTGAAGCAGAGACAGGATAAAACTCATGCAAATCAAGGTGGGTCCTGTGTGACAGAGGATTTCTTGTCATTGTGATTTGAGGCAAGGTTTTACAAAGTTGGATGCTCTTCTGATGTCCAACTCAAACACTCACAGTAGTCCAACTACACTGAGTGTTTTTTACCAAGACGCCGTATCTAGGAAGGTTGCCATTCAAGGCTAAGTTTATTTAACAAAGGCAAAATCTATATTAACGAGACAAAATGTGATTCATGTTGGTCATCTAAACATTTGGCATTTTACTTTAACTCTATCGTTATAAAAATTAGATTTCCACATGTTTTTTTTTGGGGGGGGTGTTTTCGTTTTTTTTCCAATTCAAACCGGAGTCGAAATTTGAATCACATTTCATCTTATTAAAATAGATTAACATCTTATTAGCATAGATTTTGTTCTTGTGAAATTCTTCTGATGATGCTAGATATTTGGTGAAACATGTCAAAGTAAAAATTGTCTTACATATTTACCATGTATCTAGTTGAAGTCCAGTGTTTACACACATCTGAGCTACCTTCATTTAAATTCAGTTCTATAGCTGGCTTTAGTCCAATTTCTCATGAAGTTGTAATTTGTTGATCAACATTCCTTTTCATTTTCTTTTCTTTTTTCTGTCCAGCATTATGATGAAGAGGAGGAAGAAGAGGAGGAAGAGGAAGTTGATGATGAAAGTGATACCAATGATGATGAACTGGACACAGACATGGTAGATGACCGTGATTCAACGGATGATGTAAGTAACCATCTGATCAACTTTTCTTTTTTTTTTTTCCCCCCTTTTTTTGGGTCTCTACTTGCTTTCTGCTTCCCAACTGACTTTCTTAACACTGTCGAGTTTTGTATGTCACATTTTCTGATTATTTGCATTTTATGTGTCATCTTTTTTTTTTTTGTGATTATTGCTTATTTTTCTACTTTATTATTGTTTTTCTTTTCTATTTTTTTTAATTGATCTAAAATTTATTCCATTTATAAGTGAAACTTTATTGCAGTTTAACCCTTAAACATTCAACACGTTCAAACTCGCCCTGTAAATATTGGTTCTCAAAATCTTACTGTTTGTGGTTAAAGTCTCACAGTTTATGACTTCTGATGTAGTGGAATAACCTGTTACCACCATTAGTGACTACACTATAGATAGTAACTACCTATAAGTATCTGTAAGTCAATGGACTACAGACTCTAGCTGGGATCTGTTGAGTACAACTCAGACTTATGCAAGAACTACTGACCTTCCAATAGCAGCACTCACTACTAGATTGACTTGCGATGACCTTCTGTATAACTGTTACCTTTATTCTTATTGTACTGATTTTTTACAATAAACCTTTACTTATTTTATCCACCATGTTTTTCAAGTATATATTCCTATTAGCACCGAATATAACAACTTCCCATGTTATTTATGATGATGCTGTCATATATTAAGGCCACATGGAGCACTTTACAGTTGATTGAACATTGCAAGCCAATATTTACTTAGCAGGTTTGGGTGTGGTTCAATGCTAAATACTCCCCACATTCTCATGGTTGCATTTGCTACTCACTGCTTACAAAGAATGATAGTAAAAATAGTTGTAATTGGAAATCAATGTTTGTTACTGCATCATTTACAAAAGATGCATTCAGCAGAAAATCATGTGCAGCCAATAGCAATTTAAGATGCACATATGATAGATTTTCTAAAATGTATTTAAAAGATTATTTTTAATATTCACTTTCTTTAGAATATAATTTCTGAATAAATAACATTTTCTGAGAATTGTTTGATATTTCAGGTTAAACTAATTTTCTAATTAGTCAATAAAATAAAAGTAATTAAAATATAAACATGACCAAACAATTCCATCTTATTTACATGCAAAAGGACAGTATTGTTCTTTTTAAACTTTGTCAAGGCAAAAGGAAATGAAGCTTGATAATAGATGGTAACAAAATATATTTAAAATGAAAATTATAAATTATCTAAATGTCACTTATAAAAAAAAAAAATAATTAATTTATGAAATCTATCATGGTTTTCCTTTTCAAATTAATTTTTCTGATTAGCTCCTGTTAAGGCTGCCAATGGGTGTAACAGTAAATTACTGTTACACCCACTGCCTAGGTAATTGATAGTTGTGGGGAAAGTGTTTACTTGCTCACTCGCTCTTTTCTCCATCAATAATTATGGCAAATTAGAAAGAAGACATTTTGGTTAAGATATCTAGTAATAGAACCGGGCACAGGGCTTTGTTTCCAAACCTTTTTCTAAAAGCATTCATTCTTACTGAATGTAGAAATCTATCTTTTATAGTGATAACCTCAAACTAATATTTTGTGTACTATTATCATAAATGACATTCTTATAACTTCTTTTACGCTAATTGATTTTATAGGAAAAATAACTTACTTCAGGTGATATAGCAATATGTAAAAAAAAAAAAATCTATTTGCTCTTTTAAAAAAATATTTATTTTTTAATAGTATGTTATGTTTTACCGTTTACTTTGTTTTATGACATTTATAACAGCATGCTTTTATTTTATTTTTTTGTCTTATTTTGAATATTGATTTTTACCCAAATAGGATTGACTATAAAAACTGTAAATGAATTGATATACTCTTACTCACAAAAAGCTATTTTTTCTTAATAATTTATATTTGGAAATATTGAAAATATTTCTGAAACTTGTGAAAATGTTTGTTAGCTTAAAAGTTGTGCAAAGAAAAATTTATATGCAAATTTGTAGAATAGTATTTTTTCCTTTTACTTGCATTACAAGAATAAATTCCTTCAAAATCCTTATTCATCTTCCTTCATTGAAAATTCTGGTTTTTCTAAGACAGCCAAAAGTTTCTGCTTAGAAAAGGCCCTAATTTTTAGATTCTCTGAAGTGCCAAAATTGTTCAGTTATATTTTCTTGTACATTTCAATCCTCTGCTGTTAAAGCCGCATGGAAATATTGTTTCCTAAGTTTGATATTTTACTTCTGTTAATACAATCATTCAGCATCAAAGAAATTATACCTGGCATTACTTATTTCCAATCAAAATACATGGCTCATTCAACTTGGGCCATAAACATTCTACTGGTAAGACTCGTTTTTACAAAAATATCATTTTATGGTATTTTTGATATACAAGGCATAAAGTGCATATATTTAAGTTCCTAAAAGTCAGTTTTTTAAATATAAACAATTTTCTCAAAATTTGAACACTAGAGAGAGAAATCCAAACTCTAAACCTAAAAAAGTATTGTTCTTTACTTCATTTAAAATTTTCAAATGAAAATCTAATTTCTCAAAATAATCATTTGCATATCTTGTGTATTTTTAGATTGTTATAAATTAAATTTGGATGCCTGTATTTAAAAAAAAATTATTTTATTGATTTACTATTTTTACCTGTTGAATTCCTTTTCATGTTTTATTGGAAATGTTTATTTTAGAGTGCATAAGCTTTTCTGTTGCTTATAGCTTGTCTGCACAGATAGCCACAAGTCTTGCTCGACCATAACATTAAGCTTTTTTTTTTTTTTTTTTTTTTTTTTTTTTTTTTGTAAATAAAGAAAAAAATATTTTGTGACCATTTTTAAATTTTGTCAACATTACTTGTCTCTTTCTTTTTAAAAAAATAGAAATGTCATACATATTAACTGCTGGGTGGGTGAGGTAATTGCATATTTCTGGTGTTCAAACCTTGGTAAAAACAAAGGTTTTAAATGCAGATAAGTAAAATTTCTCCAAATTAGCCTTGTGCCAGATTAAACTAATCTTCATAAATTTATCCATGTTATAAATGATCCAAATAAAAAGGCAAAACAACCATGAATAAAAACTGTAACTGTTTTTTCTACTTTCACTGCTTCAAAAAAACATGATTATTAATAATCATGATATATGTGTACAAATACTAAAGAGAAAAAACAACTTTGAAAATCTCTGAGTACACATTTTTAATAGTATAATAAGATTTTTGGTAATCTTTAATCTTCGTACCCACAAAAAATAGTGTGTCAAAAGTATGGTTTTTCCCTTGATACTGTTATTATTTTGTACTATTTCCACTCAGCAATGTTTGTTTTTTTTAAAAAGCAATGATTAGAATTTTAATAAAGCCTAAACATATGAAAGTGAATTTATACATTTTTTTTTTGTTCTTTGAGAACTTACAACAAAAATATTAAACATATATTTTTATAATCTTGTAAATAAACATTGCCAAGGGAGTGAGGGTAATATAAAACAATAGTGGTATCAAGGGAAAAACCATCCTCTTGACACAATTTTTTTTTTTTTTTTCAAGGCATGTAGGTTAAGATTGTCAGATTTTTTTCTTTTAAATCTTAATCAGAATAGAT